AAGTAATACATAAGGAATAAAGGAGAAAGTTTCCTGTAATTTTTTGTGGGGAAAGAGGAGAGAATAGATCTAATACATGAAAGTCTACACATGACATATATAAGTCTAATATGTGAAAGCCTCCATAACCATGGTGGCACCAGAGGTGTCTTTTACTCTGTTACATGAGACATTGTTTAAGTAGCTTTTTAGTTTTTCCCCCTAGTTCTGCAGGATTGAAACCAGGCTTGCCTTACCACAGAACTACATCTCCAGTTCTTTTTAAATTTTTTAAAAATTTTGAGACAATATCTCGCTAAGTTCTTTTTACATTTTTTTAAAATTTTGAGGCAGTGTCTCACTAAGTTGGCCATGTGGAAACTTGAGAGCCTCCTCCTCAGCTTCCCTGAGTGCTGGGATTACAGGCATGAGCTACCATGCCCACATGTTTTTGACATTTTTGACCCTGTCAAAATGTCCCTCTTTTCAGAAGGTTTTCACAGAATGTTTCACTTCCTTCTGATGTGTATAAAAGGGCAGGCCTCAATGTGTGCAAGATGATAAAAATGGCAAGAGCTATCATTATCAGTCACAGTGTTGCATGCCTGTAACCTTAGCTACTCAGGAAGCTGAGGCAGGAGGATTGCAAGTTTGAGCCCAGCCTGGAGAACTTAGCAAGACCCTATCTCAGAATCAAATAAAAAGGGCTAGGAATATAGCTAGCACTCTCTGGGTTCTATCCCCAGCACCACACAAAAAAAAATTTTTAAGGAATAAAACAAAAAGAGTTGCCTGTCACTATTTAGAGCCAAGAACACAGCAGGATATGAGCCTGAAGTGCGACCAGGCTAGATTATGGAAGGAAGGCCTTAAAATCCACACCAAAAGGCTCTTTAATTTGGATGTCTGGTTGTGCACCACTGATGCAGAAATGGAAACCGCCTCTCACTTTCCCAGGGTGGAGGAAGGACAGGTGTGGTCCTTGTGTCCTGGACAGCTGAGAGATGGGGTTCAGTACAAGCTCAGTACAGTTGGCAGCGAGTGAGGTGCGTCTGGCCGAACCAGTCAGTAAGTGGGCCTCCAGCACCCACACCTGGTCTTTTCTGTCCTTGGTGCCACCTGCCCTTTTCCCCAGCCCACTCTAGAATGTCCTGGAGGTGAGAGGTGGAGGTGATCCTTGCTCAGGCTCCAGTGCTTTACCCAAGATGACTGCTAATTAAATAGATCTAGAACTGTCCAGCCTCTGTTACCATTTTACCTCTGATGGCATTTTTCTTAACAGTTAATGGTGATAACATCTGTGCCACCATAGGATTTACTCTTCTGAAGCATGAGCTTTGGTGAGGGTTAGTCACCTTAGAGGGTCAGCACAGCTTGGGGACATTTCAGTCACCCACGTTAGTTCCCTTGTGCCCCTTTTTTTTAGGCATCAATTTGACCCCAGTCCCAGGCAACCACTGACACTGACTCCTGAGTTTTTACTGTAGAGTTCTTTCTGTGGCTTTGTTATTTAAATTTTGTCTGCTTTTAACTGAGTTAAAGTGATAGGTAACTTAAATGTAAATTAACTTTGTGAAGAACTTAACCTTCACCTGTGCCAAGCACTGGGCAAAATGCTTTGGGCATCAGAACAAACCCAGGAGGAAGAAAGCAGTATCCACGTTTACAGAAGTGGAAGTGAAAATAAAACTTTATTAGGTAACCAAAGCCCCCAGATCACGTGCTCTGTGGCACAGCTGGACTCCTTCCCATATTTGGTTAACTCCAGACCCAAAGTCTCCCTGCATCTAAATGCTTTGCCCTCTCCTGAATTTGTTATATTTTTATTTATTTTGCAGTGCAAGGATTGAACCCAGGCCCTCATGTATGCCAGGTAGTGCTCTGCCACTGAGCTATCTTCCTGTCCCATGTCCCAGATTTAAAAATAAATAGATAAATAAAATAGAATATTGTCTCACTAGAAAGAATTACGCCACTCACCTATATTTTTTGAGAAGGATGATTCTTAAAATTATAGAGTAGAAATAAAAGTGGAGATTTTGCTGAGGAAAATGACTTTGGCTTTTTTAATTCCCTTCAATGAATTTTCACATTGTGGTTTTCCATGGCAAATTGCCACGCCATTGACAATTGGAACTGTCGGACATCTATTTATTCGTTAATTGTGGGCAGCCTGCAAGCTCAGCCTGGAAGACTTTTAAGACTGAAACCTTTCTTTGCATCCCTGGATTTGAGACAAGTGTCTCATATTTTGCAAGAACATCACCAGTTCCTGCATCCCAGGGCACCTGGGTGACGCCATCCCAGTCAGTCCTCCCTCAGCTGCTTTAGCTCCCAGCATGGAAGCCATGTGGATGGAGAGGGAAATGTCACACTGCTTCCTGTCCCTACCCCAGCTCCTGAAGGTGAGGCTTCCTTCCTAGGCCTTTTCCTCTGAGCTTTGCCTCCCAGGTGAGCAGTGACGAGAGCAGGGCAGCTAAGGAGGATTCCAGTTAGAAGAAATTGTCTGGGGACTTTCTGACAGCCTGACACACATCTTGAAGTGAGCTGAAACAAGAAGAGAAAAGACTTGAGATGTTTCCAGTGGCATTTAGAGCTCTGTTCACTCAGGATTCATTACTGACCCCAGCTGTGAATCAGGCCCAGGAGGGGTTACAGCCAGAGCATGTGACTGTGGAGCCTTGTGCCCTGCTCACAGCCTTGAAAATTAAATTTGAAGCCTGAAATCCAGCTCTTTGCCAGCATGGAAATGGAATGAAATTTCACTCCTTTCCAAATGCAACTCCTAAAGGGAAGATCTGGCCACCCTGGAGTGGATGGGGATGCTTCTCTGGGTCTCATCTGGCACTTCTCACATGTTCCTTTCTATCCCAGGAGAACTGTAGAACCAGGCACTTGGGATGCTAGGCCTTTTGGTCTCTAAAAATTGCTGTCCATGATCCTTCAGGCCTGGAGTCTAGTTGGCCCTTCTGTTTGACCTGCCTCTGTCCATTAAGTGCCCACCAGTGCCGCCATCACCTGCTTGGCCAGCTGGGTCAGCAAGCCTTCCACTGGGCACAGGACCATGAGAGTGTCCTTGCTTGGGTCTCTGACTGATTCCTTACCATGATTCCAGTCCACATGCAAACTGCTCTCAGTAGTGGCTTCCTACGGGAAAGGGCTGCTGTTTCAGGCCCTGGAGAGGCAATCACCAGGTTGGTGAATGTCAGCCCAGGTCTCCTCTGTGATGCCACCTGGAGCCCACAGAGTAAAGATGTCGATGACCATCTTGTGAAGTATCACAAGGGAGCTGAGACAGTGAATATGCACAGGTCTGCAGCGAATCTCTGAGGCTGAGAGAATGCAGGTTCTAGAATTGGGGCCCAAGCCTCGTGATGCAGACAGTGTGCTCTTCACAGGCACTAATACTTTTCTGAAGCTATGTTTTTTAAAGTATTTCTGCTGCAGTAGGTTAGATGTGTTCCTGAAAAAAATCAGACAATAAAAATAATAAGACTGGCTGGCCATGGTGGCACATGCCTATAATCCCAGCCACTCTGGGAGGCCTGGCCAATTTAGTGACTTAGTGAGACCCTGTCTCAAAAATAAAAGTTAAAAAAACAAAAAAGACTGATGTACCTCAATGTGAAGGCCCTGGGTTCAACCCTTAGTACAGGAAAAATAAATAAATAAATAATGAAAACAAGGTTGGGAGAAAAACATAGTTGGTACAAACATTTGAAACTCTGTAACAGTAAGAGTCCTCATCATATGATACTGATGGAGTTCAAAACACCCGATAAATCCCTAAAAAGAAGTACCTGGGGCAGACAGGACTTCATGCCATATATATGTACAGCACATGTGCACATGCATGTGATGTCACTTGCTGGGAGGAAGTGTGTGTGAGGCAGGACCAAAGTTGCTGGACATGGAGACAAGGACAGGAAGCGTGGAGCTCAGGAGCAGCACCTGCCAAGCAGCTCTGAGGCCACATCTGCCAGCCGGAGCCAGAGAGAGGTGGGCAGATGGGCATTTGTAGCCTCTTCTGGGCTCCTTGCACTTAGGCCGGAGTTCAGCAGCTGACCTTGCTGATACAAACCACTGCTCTCCTAGGAACATGTTTGAAAGCAGGCAGTGTCTACGGTAATGGGGCATTGCTCCCTGATAGAATTGACAGTAACTTGCCTTTCAGACTGTGTGGAGCTCCTTACCCCAACTAGTAAGTTAGCCCATTTCCTGTCCTGCTAGATAGGAACCTGAAATATGAAGCCCTTTATAGTTAAAAATTGTAGTAAAAAGATAAACATGACATAAAATTTACCATCTTAATCATACTGACATGTCCTGGTCAGCAGTATTAGGTGTATTTCCATTGTTGTGAAACAAATCTCTGGAACTTTTTTTTTTTTTTTGGTACCGGGGATCGAACTCAGGTCCTTGCGCTTGTGCAGCAGGCAGCAAAACCACTGAGCTAAGTCCCTGGCCCATGGAACTTTTTAATCTTGCAAAACCAAAACTCTGTACCCATGAAGCAACTCCCTCTCACCCTTAGTCCCTGGTAACTACCATTCTAGTTTGTGTTTTTATGAATTAGAAGTACTTTAGGGACCTCATATAAGGGAAATCATGCACTGTTTGTCTTTTTTGTGACTGATTTATTTCACTTGGCATAATGTGTTTAGACATCATGTAGTTTGGGTTAGAAATTTATGAAACATGAAATTAAAACATTTCAAACTATTTTTTCACCCTAGATTTCTTTGTACAATGTTAGGCCAGAAGTAGGAGGTGGGAGTCTTGGCTGCTTTGCTTGTGCAGTGAAATAAAAAACCCTGTAGAGTTTTATCTCCCTGTCCTGTGATTCTCCCAGGTTGCTTTGTTTCTTCGTGTCCTTGAGCATAGATTAACTCTAAAAGGCTAGTGTTCTGTGTTGAAGATAATAGTCAACACGGCAGCTACATCAGACATCATAGGATAGAATGTCATCTACAAAATGCTGGAGAGATTTTATAAGTCAGATCGGTGTGATTCCATTCCAGAGAGCTCAGAGACGTGCTCAGCAAGTCCTGCAGAAGGAATGTCGGCCCAGATTTGTGAAGACAGCAATGGCGCAGCTATTTGAGCACAGATATAGCCTAGACTTGGCACCCTTCGTGCAGAAGGTCCCTGGAGCCAGTGAGTCCGAGTACAAGTATGATCCTCCCTTTGGATTCCACACTTTCTCCAATAAAGTCCAGTCCCTCCTGGAAATACTGCCCGAGCATGACTTCCCTGAACACTTGAAAGCCAAGCACTGTCAGCGCTGTGTGGTGATCGGGAGCGGGGGAATTCTGTACGGACTGGAGCTGGGGCATTCCCTGAACCAGTTCGACATTGTTATAAGGTACCTTGCTTTCATACCCAGCTTTCTCCTCCAGAATCCAGCCTGGGGCTCTGGGTCAGTGTAGCTCCAGGGCAGGAAGGGGCTCCAGAAGCGCTAGGGGCCACTGCCCTCAAGAGACTCACTATTTAGGAAGTTCAAAAAAAACACAAAGTGATCAGATACTCCAGACTCTGCTTAGACTTCCCTAAAGCCCACAAGGAGCTGGGACTCACCATGAGAGGCAGTAGACAGTCAAGCTAGATTGTTTTTTATTAAGCTGTTTAAACCTTGTATTTCAGGCTGAGAGTGTAGCTCTGTGGTAGAGCATTAGCCTGGCACATGTGAGGCCTTGTGTTTCATCCCAGCATTATAAAAAAAAAGATTTTCCAATTATAAAAGTAAAATAAATATATTCATTATTAAAGATCAGAAAAATATAAGGGGGGAAATAAAAATCATTTAGCACAAATAACCACAACCACTGCTAATCTGCTGGTTTTCCACTTTTATTCTATACATGTACTTCTGATTGCATTTGTGTTTTTATGAGGTATTTTTTAAACAGTATTATGAAGTTTCTGAGGTCATTAAATATTCTTAGTATTTGTTTACATAAAAGTATTATAAGTTATTTAGTGATTCTGCAGCAAGACATTTGGAATGCTTCCATTTTTCTTTGTTGTTGTGAAAATGCTTTGCATATTCTTACCCATATGTATATCTCTGATTATTTCCCTGGAAAAATTCTTTACACTCTCTGGCTTGAAGGTGGGTGGATTTTGTTCAGGCTCAAAATACGCTGTAGTAGATTACTCTTCTCCATCTTGAGGATGAGAGTTGGTCTAGCAGGAGTATGTGGGTGGATTGATGACGGGACAGAGTTGCTTCACAGGCCTGGGCTTAGAAGGCATTGGAATTGGGTGTGAGGGACACGTAGGACGTGGAAGTAGTAGGGCTGGGGATTTAGCTCAGTGGTTTTGCTGCCTGCTGTGCAAGCACAAGGACCCGAGTTCAACCTCGGTACCAAAAAAAAAAGAAAGAAAGAAGGAAAGTGGAAGTAGTGGCTGATGATTGAATTTGAGAGGTGCATTGGAAAAGGAAAGGACAGAACTTTTGATGGCTTGACAAGTAGTGTTAGCAGATGCCAGGCTTTCTAGTTTGGGGGTCTAAGACATTGGTGGAATTTCTTTAAAAAATGGGGAATAGAGGGCCAGGGATTTAGCTCATTGGTGATGTACCTGCCTCATAAGCTCAAGGTCGTGAGTTTGATCCCTGGTACCGGAAAAAAGCTCAGTGGTTCTGCCACCTGCCTCGCAAGCGCAAGGATCCGAGTTTGATCCCTGGTACCAAAAAAAAAAAAGAAAAAAAATGGGGAATAGAGAAATGGTTCTGGTTAGAGGAGGATGATGATAAGATCCATTTTGAACATTTTGATCTAAACATGATGATGCATTCACATACTACCTTTGTGATTTGGGAGATTTCCTAACTGTCCTGTGCCTCATCTGTAAAATAAATGGAAGCAGGAGCAGCTCACCATTCCAGGGATCCTTTGGAGACAGGATGTTTTAATAGGTACCTCCAAAGGAGGCTCAAAAGTGCCTGCAGCTATTCCTGAAGAATGTGCAGGAAGCTGAGGGCTCAGCAGGAGGGACAGGGGGTGCAAAGTGTTTTTAGGAAAGAGCCAGGTGTTTGGAAGGAGTAGAAACGGGGAGGAACTGAGTTTGAAGGTAACTGGGTGCATAGGCCATAGAGGGAGAGTGAAGTGCAGGGCCGGTGTGGGCTCAAACTGTGGGATCAGGAGGTCAAGTGACGGCCTATGTCAGCTGCCTTTCAGTGGGTGCTGCTTGTGTGCCTGGAGTGTGAAGTGCTTTCTCATCCCTCAGAATAACCCAGTGAGTGACACCCTCATGTTATCCTGTGTCACAGACATAGGTGAAGGGCCAGCGTCCAGGCCAGGTAGATAGAAAAGGGTCACACACAAGTGTGGTAATAGGGAGGAAGAATTGGGCTTTTTTGAGAAAGAATATAACTAGGTGAGTGGTACTACTTTTGGAAGAATTCTTAAGATTTCCTTAAAAGTACCATGTTGGTAAAGCCTTCACTGCAGTGCCCTAAGTCTTAAAACCAAGTCCCACACCCAAGGCCCAGCCCCCGCCTCAGCCCCTGCCCCATAGAACTGCAGTTTGTATCCACCTGGCTCTGGTCTTAGGGCTTTCTTTTCTGATTGCCTTTTTGAAATTCTAACAAAAACCACTAATTATCCGGGCACTGTGAGAAGTTTTCAAGGAAACTTCACTGGCACTCAGAGAACGTCCAAGATGTAATGTTTTTGCATTGACTTAAAAAATGTTAGGGCGGGCTGAGGATTTAGCTCAGTGGTGCTGCCGCCTGCCAGGCAAGCACAAGGTCCTGAGATGGATTCCCGGTACCAAACAATAACAACAACAAATGTCAGGGCAAGTTGGAATTGCTTGGCATTCAGCAGTTAGATCTGAGCACTCCATGTGGACAGAAGGGTTCATTTGTCAAATACTGGAAAGGACAGAGCCAAGTGACGAGGCTGATGGGAAGCTCAGCTATTCCAGCCTCACCCTAGTTCCTGGTCCTAAAAAACGGGAGAACATGACATGGAATATTGTGTGGTGTGGTAAGAGAGTGGATGGCTTGCTGTGTCAATGCATCTTTTTCTATTTATTTAAATAGGTTAAACAGTGCACCAGTTGAGGGATATTCCGAGCATGTTGGAAATAAAACTACTATAAGGATGACCTATCCAGAGGGTGCACCACTATCTGATGCTGAATATTATGCCAACGACTTGTTTGTCACTGTTCTATTTAAGAGTGTTGATTTCAGTTGGCTTCAAGCAATGGTAAAAAATGAAACATTGGTAAGCACTAAAAATTCATCCATCAAATGTGCCTTGGTAAAAATGAAGGGATCTTTAATGTGTTCACAGACTTGTTTTTAAAACATGCACAATGGGAGACATACTTTTGTGTGGTTTTCCAATGATAACCACCCTGGTTTTAGAAATCCCTCAGAGCTCCTTGCTACAAATTGGTTTCAGAACCTCAGAGTCGCATATAAAAATGGTGATCATTACTCAATGGGAATATCAACTTTGGGAGCAAAATTGGTCACCTCCTTATCCTGCAGACTTGGATTTGCATGGCTTTTGGTTAGTTCCAGAAATGAGATTTACTCGGATAAATATAAGCCATTTTTAAGATATTCAAAATAATATACATAAATTCCCAAAGACCTTTTCCAGAATCCTTTAGTCAGTGATTCATTCCCGTGTTGGAGTAAATTCACAGCATTCCAGGGGGGCAAATGTGGAGGCAGTAGCCCTCATTTGTTTGTATTCCTTCTGTTCATCTTTACAGCAATAAATTATATTACTATATAGTTCAAACCACTGTATTGAAATAAATTTCAGCACTCAGCTGTGGAGGAGTATATGTGCATTTTTATGCATGTGCACACATTAGCTCCCTGTGAAACTCCCACGACATACTAGACTTTTCACATAATCTCTGTGTGACAGAGAGTTTGCATCTCCAAAGCTTGACTCTGTACAGGTTATGATCTTCTGGGTTTTCTCCCAGGTAGATGTTCTAGTAGGAAAATGAAGCACATAGAGAGTGATTTATAATCAGTTGCCTAGCAACCTTATGGGATTAGGAAATAAAGTCAATGGAGAGAGGGTGCAAGGTGGGGCCCATCTGGCAGGGCACTCACAGCACTTAACACCCTTCAGTTGGACCTATTCTTTGGGCAAAATGATAGCTGTAATCCTAAAAAGTCTTCCTGAGAAAATTCTTCCACAAACAAGAACTGGTTCTATAATTTCTTTCCTTATCCAATGCCACCTCTGCAAATTGCATCTTTCAGAGTTACTTTTTGAGCTGAGGTGCTAGATTTTCACAGATCTTAATGGCTGTGCTAGAAAATACTGGGCACAAGGTTATGTGGGATTGTGCCCATGACCTTGACCTAATTAGCAGGGAATGCTTTCTAATCCTCTGCTGACAGGAGAACTTTATAATGTTCCCTAATGATTGTTTGCTTTCTTTCCTTAGCCATTTTGGATCCAACTCTTCTTTTGGAAGCAGGTGGCAGAAAAAATCCCACTACCACCAAAACACTTCAGGATTTTGAATCCAGTTATTATCAAAGAGACTGCCTTTGACATCCTTCAATATTCAGAGCCTCAGTCAAGATTCTGGGGCCGAGATAAGGTATTTTTGTCACTACTCAAAGTTAACTGTATTCTTCTTTATGTCCAAAAGGAGTTGTATTCACAATTCATGGGGGCTCAACTGTAGATCCAGAGCATCTCCAGTGGAGAAACCCAGTCATCGATTAGACACCTCATGTGTATTCGTCTCTCTGTACCTTGACTCAGTGCTCCTCGTGGTTTAATTAGCTTCTCCATGTGCCTCTGCTCTTTGGTATAGTCAGCATACTGACACTTAGGTCACCAAATGTTAAAGTATTCTTACTCCAGGACTCTATTTAACTGCAGAACACTGAAAGGCACTTTATTGGTCTGAAAAGTTCTTTACGATTTAACTCTGTGGTTTACTTAGGTGAGAATTCATGTTTATGGCTACTTTATAGATGATGTTTAAAAAAGTCAATCTTCTAGAACAGTGCTTTCAGTTGATGCCTGGATCCTACACTGGGAATTTTTTTTTTTTTTTTGAAGACAGAGTTTTACTATGTAGTTTAATTTTAGCCTGGCCTTGAACTCACTATGTAGTCTACACTGGCCTCAAACTCACAGTGATCCTGCTGCCTCAGCCTCCTGCACTACCACACCCAACAAACACTGGGAAAATCTAAAATTCCCCAGAGGATTTAATTTTTCACCCTTATGTGAGAATCTTTGTGCTTTGGGTTGTCTGTTGCTTTAAATGACTAACCTGCAATTAGCAGATGCTGCCATCACGGGGCAGAGTGGTGATGCCTTTATTCAGTACCTGTGGCTTCCTGGTCTGAATACCATAGCTAAATCTGTGTCAAAAAAAAAAAAAGTTTAGGGCCAGTGGGCAGAAGCTTTAGAAAGAACACCTCAGAGCACTAAAGCTTAACATAAGAACACACCCTCAGGCTGCCTCTTGAGGGTTTGTTAAAAGTATTCACACCTCAGATCCCATTTAGAGATTTCTGACCTGCATGGAGTATGAGGCTTTAAAATTGATAGGTAAAATTACATGATGTATAAAATTGGGGCCCCCAATGTGGCTTTTATGACCACAGTATATCCAGTACCTGTAAAGCAGCAAATTATGTTAAAACTGTTTTTCTTTTTAATGTTTGTCTTTGTTCTTTTTCAGAACGTCCCCACAATCGGCGTTATTGCCGTGGTCTTAGCCACACATCTGTGTGATGAGGTCAGCTTGGCAGGTTTTGGATATGACCTCAGTCAACCCAGAATGCCTTTGCACTACTTTGACAATCTGTGCATGGCTGCCATGAACTGGCAGACGATGCACAATGTGACAGCAGAGACCAAGTTCCTCCAGAAGCTGGTCAGAGAAGGCGTGGTGACAGATCTCAGCGGTGGCATCCACTGTGAATTCTGAACAGGGAAAACCTCTTGGAAATGTAGCAGGGCCCATGGGCTGTTCTGAATCGTCTTCTGGATGCCTTTTGTCCTGCAAATACTTTGAAGTGCAGCTGGTGTTTTTAACTTTTAATTTAAAGAAAACAAAGGCAAGAGTTTAGCTCTTCCCATTTTCTATTTATTTGAAGACAGTGCTTGTTTTTTGCACAACATTTCATAAGTTACATTTAAGAATAGAATTGGAAAGACTTTTACAAGAGAACTGTATGGAATGATGTTTATTTTAAGAAAGTAATTTAATTGGTGAGAACTCTGTCCATGTAGTGTGCACATCAAATACCAGGTAATGAAGTGGAAGTACAGGGAGGTCACCCTTTCCTTTGATGACGGCCCTGAATGCCTGATTGGACTTTTCGGCTCTCTCTGGGAACCCAAGGAGGCTTCCAGTAACTAAGCCACTGGCAGCTGTGGGAGGCCTGGAGCCAGTTGGACAAGTTCAAGGACAACCCCCCCCCCACTAGTCTGCCCTCTGCTGGAGGATTTGCAGAATCAATCAGGGGAGCTATCCGAGTGTCCCCTGAGAACTGTGAAACTGCCCGGGGCTGCAGAAGCCACCGTCTTCCCAGCAATTGTGAAGGCTCTTGAATTTCTTGAGAATTTTTTTATTACCTTCCAAAACATTTAAGTGTTATCTAAGATGTTCCTCTGTGTATCTGAGGTGGCTGAAAAGATGAGGACAAAACCTCTCTTTCCAGAGACAAGGGGAATAAGCCCTTTCCAGGAATAACCACATTTTCTGAAACACTAAAATGCAGTCCTCCCAGTGTTATAAATTGCTTACTTTAAAAAAAAAAAAAAAGCAGATTTTTAAATGCCTACCTGGCAGTGTGTGCCAAGCCATGTGCTGGTGCAGGGGGAAAAAAATAGAAAAAGAATAATAAAAGCTTTTGAGTCCTGTGGTCTAATTAATTTGAATGTTTATTTACTTTAAGAAAAGAAGTTTCTAAGTCTACCTAAAACATTCTCTTTGGATGCCACTGCTAAGAAGAGCCCTCCCTGCAAGCTTCTTGAATCCAGACAGCTGCAGACCTTCTTGGGGAGACTCTGAGTGTTAGTGTCCTCTCCCCAGGAACCAGCTTGGCCTGGCTCCTGACCCTCAATGCCCAGGTCTCAGATCTCAGAAGGTCTGTGCTGCCCCCTACCCCAGCCCAGTGTCTGCCATCATCTCTCTCTTCTCTGGCCTTGCTGCCACTGCTGCCATCTAACATTGCCTTGTGGCTGTGACCAGTCATGGCATCCACTTAGTGGGCCTCCATCTCCAGGCCTCTGGGCTTCAGCTCAGAGCGGCTGATGGAGCCAAATAGTATGATATCTTTTCATAAAATTTTGCATGGATTTTGGGTTCTACTCTAAAAGGGATGATTTGTTTAAAAGAAAGTGTTTTTAAAAGTCTCACCAGTTGTATGGCTTCATTTGGGAAATTGAGACTCAGGAAAATGGTCTGCAGTTTCTCTGTAGCTCAGTTTGGGCCAGGCTGGCACCACCTGGCCCCAAGCCCACCCCTTGGCCCTTAGGGTTAATTGGGAAAGCCCACATGCTTTTTTTTCATTAAGTTTATTGCTACATTTTAGGTATACAATACACATTCATCATTGTGATCTTGTACCTTTCTTTACATGCTATATCTTGGTTCTTATTTTTATTTCTTTTTCTTGGTTCTTATTTTTTCCCCATTCCCCTGCCCTCCCTTCAACCCCTGCACCCTTCCCTATTTACAAAGACTTTGTTTCCATTTTTTCCTTTTCTCATATTATTTCCTTTCCCTTCTTTCTTTTCCCCTACCCCTCCCACTTCCCCTACTCCTTTAGACCTTTTCTTCCTACTTCACATTATCAGTTATTCATTTTGATCCTTATTTACACTTTCAGTTTCTCACACCAGAGAAACTATTTGGTGTTTACACATATGTGTCCTATTTATTTCACTTAAGAGTGTGGCCTTGATATGCATCCATTTAGCTATAAATGTCTCTCGTTCTTTATAAGCCCATATGTTTTAATAATAATAACAGTTGACACTTCCTCAGAAAACTGTCTTAATATGGCAGCACCTCTTCACTGGTACCCGGAGACTCGGGTCCCTCCTGCCTAGGCAGGCTGCTAGGAAGAGTGAAGCTTAGGCCTGCACTTGGTCACCTCCCAGCAATGGCCGGCCCTGATCCTGTCCCAGCCCCTCCTCTGCATGTCCCACTTTTGCATCCTTATGTTGTTTTGTGCACACCTCTCGACTTCTACCTCCTCACAGGCAATAAGTACATGTCTTAAATAAGCAAATAAGGCATAGGCTTTTAGACCTTTGATGGATCCCACTGGTCTATAGGGGTTGACCCAAGATCATCTTTCAGGATTTCTAACACTTTGGCATTTTTGTTGGAAATACCTACTTTGTCTCCCCCTTGCCTACTCTCTGACACCTGATTTTCTGAGAACAGACCTTCTCTTGGTGTCTCAGGATGTCCTAAGGTTGGGCCGCAGAAACAGGTTGCACTGTCATCCTAACAACAGTACAAATGCACACCCCTCTTACACAGATGGCATTGTTGGTGTCAAGGCACCTTGGGAGGACTAGACATCCTCCACATCCTAGAGAATTGCTGGCACTTTGAGCCACAGAAAAGTTAAATAAGTTTTAGTTTGTTGGTTTTTCCTACAGAGACTACTCTCTCAAGGAACGTAGGCTGACCTTTGGAAATCCTTCTGGGACTGGGATGAATATATCCTTATAAGATGTCCATGTATTTAAACAGCTGAACTAGGATCTTATAAAACAACTTCAGGTAGTCTAGCCCTTGCCTTGCTTTTCTCATTCGTCATTTTATGTCATGTGCTGACTTTTCATTCCCCAAGAACATGTAAATAAGGCATTGGGAATGTCTATTTTCTCAGATTGTAGGGGTCTCCTCATTTGTTGGATCTGTTAGTTAAAATAAGCTTTCAAATCAGTTCTTATGACCGAACTTGTTGAATGATGACTTGGTCACCAATGGGTTGAGTGGCAAAAGTGGCCTTAGTTGTAACAGAAAAAAGCAATGGTCAGACTATAGTCTAGGTTACTAAAGATTTCTAAGCCTATGTATCACTTTGATTTGGCTATATTCTAACCCCAGCACTCTGTTCCCATGCTAGATATATTGGCCACTTTTCATTGTTGGGACAAAATACCTGATATATACAACTTAAAGGAAAAAAGGTTTATTTTGGCTCATGGTTTCAGAGGGTTTAGTTTATGGTTAGCTGGCTTCAAGACAGAAATGGGATGGTAAAATGGAGAAAAATGGCTCAACCCATGACAGCCAGGGAGCAGAACAGAAAACCCAGAGAGAGAGGCAGGGGACCTCCAAAGGCAGAGCTTCAGGGAGCTAAGTCCTAGGCTCCACTTCCTAACAGCACATTCAACCATGAACTCATCCATGGATTAATCTACTGATGAGTACAGTACCTCCATGGTCCAATCAACCTTCTGAACACATGAGACTTTTAGGGGAACATTTTAGACCTAAACCATAAGACTACATATAAAGGGGATTGTAAAATTTTCCTTTTTAACTTTCTCAAGACCCTTTTAGACCAGCATTATAGGAAGATTAGAGAACAGCAATTTACTTTCCTCCTTCTTAGGTTTAGAGCATCCAAGTATAAGTTACATTTCCATCCATTCTTTGTAACACATCAGTAAGTCCAATTGAGAGGAATTTAACTGAATCCCTCTTGAAAAGAAGTAAGCTTTTAGTACACTTGTCCATAACAAACAACAGTGGGCTCTTGAGCCTTCCCTTCATACAAACATTGCAACAAAACACTTCCCTCCAACAAAGGACCCTGTGTTGGTACTCATAGGACAAGAGCCTTCTTCCGGAGCACTGACCCTCTGCAGAGGCCCACCCTGATGAACACACACTCAACTCTCAGATGAGAGGAAAGCAGATGCCATTCCAGTAGGGGCACACTCACAAACATGCCGCTTCCCACCTCTGCCTCTTGAAGGCAGAACCCCATAGCCCAACCTTCTGATTATTCTCTCCCATGTTCCTAGGTCATTTTGCACAGCATGGATTTGCATTTATGAAGCAAGGTATTTATCTGGTTGAGATAACCCTTACCTCCAATAGATAGAAGACAACTAAATTGCAAAGGAGGACTATTCGTTACACACACACACCACACACACATTTTATTGACTAAATATATTCTCCAAAATGAAGTTGCAGTCTTAGTAGCTTAATTTTCATTATCAGAATAATTAGATTTGACTAATTTCCAATCCATTTAGCAAGGAAGAAATACGACCGTATTAGAATAATATGATGCACTGAATATGCAATGTACTTTTAGTTGTAACTTTTTAAAAAGCAAATTTTTCCAGTGAGTTGTGCCCAATAAACCATGTAGGAAGGAAGACAAGTTTATAGATTTTTCTTCTGTCTGGAAGAAGTGAAATGCCATGTCTCACATTGGTGCCAGGCTGCCATCCTGAGCCTGGCAATGGTTATAGCCTTTGTGGAGCTGCACATGTAAAAAAAATGAATTTCCAGAAAGCATAAAGAAACTGACCACTCAGTAGATGCTTCATAGAAGCTATTCTAATAGCTATAAAAAAGCCCCCTAATCTGCAGGGGTTGTATTCCAAGACCCTGGCAGAGGTCTGAAACCATAGAGAGTACTAAGCCCTATATATACAGTATCATGTTTTTTCCTGTATCTACAATATGATAAAGTTTAACTTATAAATTAGAAAAATTCTTAAAAATTAACAACAATAAAATAGAATAATTCTTTTTTTTTTTTTTTTTTTTGGTACCTGGGATCAAACTCGGGTCCTTGCGCTTGCGCAGCAGGCAGTGAAACCACTGAGCCAAATCCCCGGCCCTAGAATAATTCTTATACTGTAATAAGTTACTTAAAATGTATGAGTTGCTTAATTTCTGGAATTTTCCATTTCTTGGAAATGGTTGGAACCATTTCCAATCACGGTTGACCCTAGAAACCACAGAAAGTGAAAGTATGAATAAGAAGGACACTGTTGTGTACTAAAAACTTGAAAGTTCTAAAAGAGCAATGTATTTGCACTCCATCCTTTCTTACCTGGCTTATGAAGAAAGCTCCAATAAAGTTGACATTAGTGACAAGTTCATTTAAAGCATTAGGTCCATGATAAGAAAGACCACATCCTAAATTGCCAAACACTAGTACAACCATGACAGATGCCTAAAGGTGAGCATATGTAATGAGAACCAGTTAAGGCTAATCAAGAACAGTAAGCAAATGAAAAAAGTGGTTTCACATCAACTCTTATCTGACTGGCCTTTGGAGTGAGAAGAAACTATCAGCCCTAAGGAAATGAGAATTCCAGGAACTAAGTTAAGAACTCTTTAGTGGCAGCTTTATACTCTATCCCATCTACAGCACCTATAACAAGGCCTTACCTGTGGCAGTTCTTAGTAAATATATTTTGATTTTACATCTTCAGTGGAACTGAAAGATGGGCAGGAGATGATCTGAGATTGAACATAATGAAGAGCTCTGGGGTCTAGATTCTGGGCTGAGGAGTCTAAGAATCCTGAGTTGAGGACTGGAATGTGGTTAATGAATGCAATCACTTTTTCTACATGTGATTTTCCTAGTTAAGTGATATTTTCAAAGAATGTGCCAAAAGCTGTACATTTAATGGCTGTACATATATCCATCCATTTTGAAAAACTGACTTACTGCTGAAGTTTATGTTTATAAAATAGGTGTGCAACTCACCTTTCCAAGAGCGTTCCAAGGTATACCAGAGTATGGGTTGGAGTTTTAGACTCTAAAAAGGAAGATCCTGAACCAGAATCTCTGTTCTATATTCAAAGACATTGTAGTGAGTTTATTACATGGGATTTGGAAACCAACAGAATATACCTCCATTGAATTAC